CACTGTAGGGTTCTAGTGATAGCGTTCTAGTGGACAAGACAAGAGGCTACACGGCCTCTTATGGCCAAGCCTGGGAAGTTAAACCAATCACCTCTATTGCATTCATTATATTTGTTACATGTGAGTCCCTAAGACTGGCTTAGATTCAGGGGGAGAAAATACAGACCTGGCTTCTCAAAGGAAGGAATGTTGAAGAATCTGTGACATGTTTTTCAAGTCATCATAGATAGTATTGAAAACCTTAAGACTGATTGAGATCACCTAGGGAACAGTTGTAGAAAGAAATGAGAAAAAGTTCAAAGACTGAGCTCTGGGCCACTCCTGCATTTGAAGATCAGCAAGGTGAAGAGGACACAGCAAGGGAGGCTGAGAAGGAGTGCCAGTGAGGTAGAGAAAATCAGGAGAGTGCAGGAGGCAAGTAAAGCAAAGTGTTTCAGCAGAGAGGAGTAATCGGTGCTATCAAATGCTGTTAAAAGGAAAAACGAGATGTGGACTGAGCCCATTAGCTTTGGTGATGTGGAAATCACTGGCAGTCTTGGCCAGAGCAATTTCCAGCGTGTGGTAATTGGATTCTTCAGCTCTTCTTTGGGTGCCAGCCCTTAGGTCTTGGCTATGTCACTTCCACTCCAGCCTCAGGTCTGGGAGGAGGAACACATTGGATTGATTGGTTTGGTTTTGTCACCATACATTGCCATAGAGCAGCAGTTCTCAACCTGTGGGTTGAGACCCCTTTGGACTGTATTAAAGGTTCATGGCATTGGGAACGTTGAGAACCACCACCGTACAGACTTTTGGCAAACATTTCTGGTGATGGAATTTATAAAAGAATGCCACATAGCTTCCTAACTTTCACATTTACTAAATAGCTCTAATAGCTGACAATATCTATATTATAATGTTTGACACTAAACATATTTTTGAAAGCTCTATTTATAGTAGAGCTTTAATGAGAGATTTAAGCAACAGATTTCATGATAGGGCAAGATGGGCAAGATGCATTGACAAGCAAGTGGAAAATATTAGTCTGTGAACTTAAATAAATCTGCCCTAATGAGGATGCTTGGCTGCTTTGATTTTTTTCTTCCTGAAGGACAAAAAACCCAAACCAAACAAAGAAGGGCAAAATAAACATGAAAAGGAAGAGGTAAAAGCTGTTCCATATTAAAACTGTGCCATTTCAAAATTCCCTTAATGGTTGCTCAGAGGTAAAACATTTACTTTATTGATTTTCTTTTACTCGTTTGGGTAAAATTGAAACCACGCTGATTCTGTGCGTAAATCCTTGCCAGTTTGCCCTTACATCAATTCCTTACCTATTGCCTGCTGTGCTCTGTATCTGTGGGCACAACTCACACGGACCCTCTTTCAGGGGCTCCATGGGAGCTGCAAATGGCAGGACAGTTGAGGCAAAAGGATTTTTTCCCCCTCTCTCTGTAGGGCCAGTCTCCCCAGTAGTCCTTGCATCTATTCGGTGGCTCCAACTCCCACCGGCCTGTGCTTCACCTAACTTCACTTATATGTTTCCTTGGCTCTTCATCATCTGAGGAACCATGTGCCAGAATTAAGCTTTCTCTGGTTTAAATACATAGGTAGTTTCTGCTTTTCTGGTCAAACCCTGATGTTTTATGTATGTGGGTTTCATTCGTATGCCCTGATGACAGTTTCTAATGGTTAAATATATGCATTAACAACTATATCCCACTTCACCCTTGTTACAATAGGAAGAAAGAGTTGGGTTTACAGAATCTGCAGATCTTTCAGACCTCACTTGCTTTGTCGTTAAAGCCATGGGCATTGGACAGGCCTAGTGACTCCTAGCTCCTGTGTCACTTATTAGCTGTGTGATCTATCACAAATTATCTAACATTAGAAGCCTCAGCTTCCTTCATCATCTATGATATGGAGATGATAATTTTCCTACTTCATATGGTTATGAGGATTGGAAGAAATACAAGCTCAAAATACCTAACACACTGTGTATAGATTGTAAGTGTTCTGAAAGAAAGTAATTATTAATTAGAAAGTCTTTCTTTTCCGTAACATAAGCCTTTGCAGTCATTTTTACTTATGTCAGGAGCCTGACATGAAGCATTTGCTGGCATTTTAACCTCTGAGGGTACTAAGGCAGGTCATTCATTTGTAGGGTCAGGGTGTGCTAGCTGGTCTAAAACAGGATATGGTAAAATATCCTCAATGTTCTTATATATTAAGTCCTGCTGTGTTATCCAACTTGCTTTGGGTCCTGATCTCCAGTTTTGAACCTATAGTTATTCTGGAGTAAGATACACCAAGGTAAGAGGGCGGTTGAGTGTTATAAATATTAATTTGTTCTCCTGCTCTTAGGTCTGAATTGGAAGATTAGTGGAAGAGCGCTTGTATTGGGGACAAGGCTTAATGACTTCTGTCTTGCTTTATTCTTGCCGGAAACTTTCTCATCCTCGTTCTTTTCTAAAATGTCAGATTAATTCTCAGCATCTTCATAAAACTTGTTTTCTCTAATTATTTCAAACAAATTGGGTGTTTGCAATGGTATCCATCTAATCTCCAGGCTCCCAAGAATAATTTCACAAAGAAGACCTCCTCCAGGCTTTTTTCTCCCAAAGAATGCCCTGCCAGGCAGCCTGTGGCACTCTTGTTTTGGAGGAACACTTCAAGCACTGTATGGCTGCTGGGCTGTGCCTTTCTTTGGATTAAGACTGGTTTCATTAACAAGCATGTTCACACTTCAACCGGAACATTTAAAATAACACCCGTACAATGTGTTTAGTGTCTAGTTAATTATTAAGTCTCTGAGCTTGAATTATTCAAGCAAAATTGATTGGGTTCAACCTTCTCCCTGTGCTTTTTTTTTGTTTTTAAATAAAAATAAATTCTCCCCTCTACTCTTTAAATAACGTGAAAGGGTTATTTAGCAACTATTAATACCCTGGACTGTGGGTGGTACCCAAGGGCTAACAAAATAGGTAGAGAGCTGGCAGCTTGATTCTTTTGTTAGAAACATATCTACTTCTCCTAGACTGGCATTGTTAATTAGCATTTATTGAAGCCTGACATGTTTTAGGTTCTCTCTTTTAAATGACTTTCTAGTTACTTATAAGTAACGATAAGCAGGTAACTTGAAGCCAGTTTTTGGTGTACCACACTTGAAGAAGCAGAAGGAATTACTTCCTTCTTCGCCACTTCATTTCATGGTCAATGAAATTGTTCGAATGTGGTGGCTTCACTATCAAAAACCATATTGTTCACCTGAAAGGATGTTTCATAATATATTGCTACTTGCAAACACAAGTTTATAAAACTGCTTTACATTTCTGCTAACACGCATAGGAAAAAGATGTGAATAACGAGCACCAAAATATTGCCTGTTATTTGTGTTAGGATTACATTTTTCTTTTTGCTGTTCTATTACTTTTATAATCAGACAACACATACATGCAGGCACACGCACGAAGATATATGACTAGAAATGAATAACCTTTTGTCTAAACTTATTTATCACTCTTGTCAAGAGCACATTGAAAAAATTGCTGTCCTGGGAGGTGGCTCAAAGGAGCAGGGTGCCTGCCCCATATACTGGAGGTGGCGGGTTCAAACCCCGCCTGTGCCAAACAAACAAACAAACAAACTGAAAAAATTGCTGTCCTTACTTAAGCCAGGCAAGCATAGACTTGGCAAGCATAGATTTCACAAAAAGTTTCACAGTATTTTGTGAATCACGACAACTAGCATCAACTTTTGTTAGCCTTCATTTTTAGACTTTATGCCTAGATCTCCATTTCTAGTTCTTCCTCAGCGTCCCTATTATCGAGATGTAAAAACAGGCAATCGTGGGCATTAACATCAAAAACATAACTGCCCCACAGGTGCAGGAAAGGAATATAAAATGTAAATTTTGGAGGAAGATTAACGGAGACGGCAGTTTTGAAAGTAAATAACAGAAATACAGTGACCCAGTTTTGTGGCATTAATGTAAATGTAGGATCGTCCACGAGAATTTTGTAAAGAGAGCTTTCCTAAAACTCATAGACTTGACAAAAATCTGGAAGGGCCCTACAGGCATCAAGTGCCTAGCTATTGGGCAACTTGCCTTTGCTGCCCAGATTCCTGAATTATGCCATTGGGTCACCAGTCTCTGTGTGTGTGGGCAAACGGGGTGGTGGTGGTGTAGGTTTGATGGCAGTGGTGACCTGTAGTGACTCCCTTCAGGGTCTGAATCTCCTGTAGGCGGTAACCATGGCTGGAGAAAAACAGTAGCTAGAATAGTTCCGGAGCAGAAAACACGATGCTCCACTTTGGGAAACTTTTGGGAATAGAGATGGAATTCTATCCTTTGCGCGCACACACCACTTAAGCGATAGCACATACAAGTCTGTCATTGTTTTTGTCTCGGAAATGACATAAGGAACGCTGTAACTCGACATAGAAGAAATTACTACTCTGGAGTGGGCGAGAACCGAATTTGGGGGGCGGGTGGCGAGCAGGTAAAGAGCGGAAAGACAGGCGCAATCCTTTCCCGGTCTGTCGGAAGCCTAACGCCGCTTGCTTCTGGGCCCCCTTAGCAAACGTGCCAGACAGGTGATGTCTCCGAGGACGAAGGTGCAGCCCCGCTCTGCGATCTGTACCAGCGCGCCTGGGGGAACCGGGGACAGCGGCGAGGCGGTGGCGCACAGCGACCGGGTGCTACCGCAGCTCCCCGGCTCGGCCCGGTCCTCCCGCCTCCATATCCTCCGCCACCGCCGCCTCGGCCTCCCGGGTCCTCCTGTATCCCTGCATTCCACGTTGCGGCAGCCGCAGCCCCGCGGGCCGAGCGGCCCCCGCCCCTCCCCTCGGCTGGTGCAGCACCCCGCGTCCCCGCCGGGGTCTCGCGACCGGCGGCTGCATCCCGCGCCTCGCCCGGCTGCCGGGCTCCGGGGCGCGGGGGCGCAGGGGCGCGGGGGCGCGGAGGCGCGGAGGGAGCGGGCGGGCGCGCGCGCGGCGGGAGGGGGCGGGGGCCGCCATATTGGATCCTGACTCTTCGGCGAGCCTCCGCCTGCGAGCGGCGGGGACTGGAGGAGCCTTGCGGAGCCTGGGGCGCGAGCGCCAGAGGAGAGGGCAGGCGGGGGAGGGCCGGGAAGGAGAGGAAGGGAGTGGTTGGGAGCTGGGCTGCGGCAGCCTCTGGTCTCCTCACCACAGGCACCAACCCCTCCTCCAGCGCCGCGGTCGCCTCCCTGGCTGAGGAAAGATGCCCTTAATCCAGGGGTGTGAAGAAGGGGAAGAAGTCGCTGCTGGAGCCGCCCGCACCGCTTTAGCTGCCGCCCGTGTCCTTTGAATTCGGAAGCGCACCCCCCTCGCCTGGGGCGTCCGGAGCCTCCGGCTCGGCGGTCGCGGTGCGGTTGTGGGGGAGACCGGGCTCTCCGCCCGGCGCGGCCGGGCCCGGCCCACGAGCGACCACCGACATGGAGCGGGCTCGGGCGGCCAAGTAGCCGCTGTCGGGTGCGAGCCGCCCGCAGCCCGCCTTCCCACCCCGGGCCGCGCCGCGGGTCAGGCCCCTGGGAGAAGCTGGGAGAGAAATGATGAGTTTTCACCGGAATGCGTTCAAAATAGGACTAACTGCAAAGCCTTAAAGAGAGGACCTCGCGGGGGAGAAAGGAAAAGCCTCCTCCGGGCAGGACTTGGCGTGCTCTGAGCCGAGGGGCTGCTTCAGGGACCTCGCCCCCTCCCTTTCCCGCTGGAGAAATCGCCGCTGATGCATTATCCAAGTGGTGGTTGGGAGGATTTGCAGCAAAATTTTTGGTTTTCCCTCCCCCTTCTATACATTCTGGTTTTTTCCTCCTTTTTCTATTTTTCTTCTTCCCGGGAAGTGAGTTGCTGATGCAAATCGGACTTTATTCATTAATGATGCAACCGGATTCGTTTCAGGATTATGTTGCACAAGTTGAATTTTGAATGAAGGAGACGAGTTTTTTTTTTTTTAAAGAAGTGTCGACTCTTTAGTTAATTGTACTTTTAATTATTTTATTTAAACATACGGCTGAATTGTATTTTTCTTTTAAAGTGTATTAAATATCTATTTTAATGGTAATTTACCCTCGAAGTATGTGTATATGGGTGAAATTGAAGACGCTTCAGTTAAGTGAGGTGACTGGTGTGTTGGATGTTTAATTCAGCGCCGGCATTGCATGACAGTTGTTTGAATAACAAGTGGTTTGTTTTTAAAACCACACCTTTTAGAAAATTTAGAGTCGAATAATAAAAGTAACAAATCGTAATCATAATTGGAAGGAGAGCCAGCTCAAATTGAAGCAAACATGTCTGGAGAAGTGCGTTTGAGGCAGTTGGAGCAGTTTATTTTGGATGGGCCCGCTCAGACCAATGGGCAGTGCTTCAGTGTAGAGACTTTACTGGATATACTCATCTGTCTTTATGATGAATGCAATAATTCTCCATTGAGAAGAGAGAAGAACATTCTTGAATACCTAGAATGGGGTAAGTTTGTCTTTAAAAAAAAACTCTTTCGATGGGCATTATGACTTAATGATCGCAGTTATCATGAATAAATTCTTCACTCTGTACTGAAAGAAAAAATATATATATTCACAGGACAAGACTAGACATCAGTTATTCCAGGTGTTTTTTTTTTCTGGTTTCTAGTAAATATTTTCCCGGGAGTAAAACTGTGCTACTCAGTGGTTGCCTTGATTTAAGGCCTAGCTAACATGGAATTTGTGATGAAGGACGTATGTATTTAGGTCAGCAGTAAGATTTTAAATAAATTCTGCGATAGGAAAATGTGAGTTATTGCTCTCACTTGCCTAATGTATTGCCTTATAATAGCCATTCAATTGAAAGATGTTTATTGGTGGAAACATTCCTCCCCAGACTATGGATATCCTTCCTGAAATGGGAGGAGATATTAAAATAATCTGTGTTTATCTTAGGTCAGCAGGAGCCTGTAGGTATCAAGGAGTGGTTTTATTTCATCTCTGTATAGAATAAGCAAAGGAAGCTACTAATCATGGGCTTTCCAAAAATTGTTACATTTGTAAGAGAAAATGACATAGGTTAAAAATTTTGTGATAGTAGTTGATGGTAGCTTTCATCTAAGAGGTTTTGCTTTAAATTTAATGTAAATCTAAACTGGTTAGATTTTTGGCTTCCTTCTTATAGAAGGGATTTGGAAGACTTACTTTAGTGGAATAGATCAATGATATGGGCAAATGCTCCATGTGACCTTCAAGCTTGAAGGCTTGGCTTAAGTTCTTCAGCTCCTCATGTTAAATACAGGGCGCACTCTAACGTCCAGAAGTTCTCTGCTGGAAGAAGTACCCTTCATCACCTAGAGCTACAATGGTACATTGGCTTTTGAAGGTTTTTGGCCAGATAGTTTTGTGTACCTTTGGAATACAAATAGTTTTAGTTGTTTTGGAAAATTTTCATACTAAAATATCTTTGCTCCCAAGTAAAGATTTATTTTTCTTGAAGAAAAAGTCAAGTGCTGATTATTTCATTTTTTTGGATTTGAAATTTATTCAAAATTAGTTTCTCAGACAAACCAAATTCAAGAATCCCTGTATATAACAACTTTATTCAATTTGCTAGTATCAGAAGATTTCTAGCAGCATGATGTCATGAGGTTTTAAAAACATAGGTAAATGTGAATAGGACGATTTTCAAAAACAGATTACCAGACTTGTAATGGGAATGTGAGTAATCTAAGCTATCTTTTAAGTGACTTCTCTCTTAAAGTGAGGCAGTTTTGACTTTAGTACTGGTTTTGTGAGTGTATGTCCTTTATGTGTAGAGTAAAATATTTTAAAAAAGCATATGTAGTTTTACATCTCATGTTTCATAACATTAGCAATTCTGTAGCTTTTTTTTTTTTAAGACTTAAGGGATTTTGACCCTTTTAGAGCTGGAATTTGAGTTCCTAAATTATGGTTCCTTAGTGACCCTCTACTCTGTGATTCTGATTGTCATTTAACATCCCTTCTTATCTATAAAATTAAGGGCAAACTCTTTGTATGTGTTGGTAGTAAATATAATTTTGTAAATGGTTTATGATAAAGAGAAAATCATATCCTCCGTTGCCTTCTGGTTATTAGATTTTATGCAGTAGTTTTATGTTATGAGATATTTTGCTGTATTATCAGAATAATTTATGTATATTTTCCGCTAAATATGTTTTCTTGGATGTTATTTCTTCTATATATACAAAGCACCTCGTTTATGTATTTTTATAAGCCAAAGAAGCCAAAAATCAAATGAGTGTTTGATTTGGCTGGTTATATATTATTTTTATTAGCATGTTTTAAATAATATCAAACCAGGGACTTTTCACAATTTTAGGTAAATTAAGTTTTAGTAGTACCCTTCACATTTTGTCCTTTTAGACGTCTGATATTTGGCATAACAAAAACATACAGTTTCTTAAGTAAGGTCCTGTTGTTTTTTAGTAATAAATTTTTAAGGAATTATTTTGTGTACATTAGGGCTAGACAGTGTGTTAAGTCTCAGGCAGTTTTAAGTCAGAATTTGAATTCTTGGAAGTAGGGGTTATCAATCACAGAAGTTTGGGTAAAGAGTAAGAAAATAGACTTAAGAATGGAAAAGCTGTCCAAGGGATGTGTCATGAGTAGTAGCATTTATTATCCTTAATATATTTGAGAATTTAGGTTGAAAATGTCAGTGTCTTCATTTAAGTATTGAAAAATACCAGCTGTTCTTATATGAATTGATTACTACATTTTGAGGAAATGTCTCATTTTATTCTCATTATCTAGTGTAATATTAAAAAAAAAAATCTTAAGGATGTTTCCAGATTGGGAATTGACTTCAGTTTAATGTTTTAAACATTCTGTTTTTGGGCCTCTGATGGAAATTTACAGGGATTGTTGTTGGGCTAAATTTGATAACTTAGATTTGCCCTAAATAATACAATTTTTAGTTTTATTTTTAATAATTCAAGAAGTATTGAGTCTTTAAATCTTTAAAAGACACAGTATTTCTGTGGGAGGTCAATATAGTTAAATACTCTTTATTACATATAAGTGTTCTGAATATTAATGAAAGTGTTCATAGATGCTCCTTATTTATTTATTTATTTTTTTGATGCCCCTTATTTTTATGGTGATGGTAGGTTACTTTTACAGTATTTCATTTCCATCAATTTAATTTTATTCCTGGTTATGGTCCATTTAATTTTTATATTGGTACAATTATTGTTTTGTTCATAACAGTATCATAACAATAAGAAAACCAATTTAAGTTCAGATAACGTTTTGCTTTGAAAGCATTCCTTGCTTTTGGTGCTGATGGCTTCAGGGAGGAAGTAAGTAGAGCAGAAGAGACAAAGAGGGGATTAGGCCAGTAAACACTAGAGCAAGGGGATAAAAGTGCTTCAAGATTATATATCACTTTAAGATTTACTAATATGTATTATTGTCTGGTTATAGCCAATAAGATTTGGAAGATTATTTTTTTTCTTCTTTGTTTTTTTGAGTTGAAATGATTTGGTTCAAAATTGTTTGCTTATAAAATAATAGTTTGGTTGTCAATAGTATAACTCTAGAATAAGTTGCAGTGGAGTTGTAGAAGTAAAAATAACTTTAACATAATAAATTATTAATAATTTGCTAGTACTGACTAAATGAGTACATTATTCAATGAATTGGCTACTCCCTACTTTGAAATGAGAAATTGGAATTTTAGAGAATTCTTTACCAATTTACCTAAAAATAAATGTAAGATAATACTATTCAGTATAAAATAAATATGCAAGGCTGTCTATATGTGGATAATTGTTTTTTTATGTTTTCTGAATCTTGGACTTAGCAATATTTCATACAAATTATTATTGAATAACAATAATTTTATAGTACATTAAGATTTTATGTGATAGATTTGCTATAAGAGCATATCAGCAGATCCTATGGTTTAAACTTTTTTCAGAGTAATTTAAAAGCT